TATAAGTCCTTCAAGACGTAGGAGTTTCGGGGTTCCGGTGCTCAGGTAAGCTCTAAAATTAAACCGCTGAGCCGCCAAACCAAATCCCAAACCCCGAAACCCTAAACCCCTCAACCCCTAAACCCTCAAACCCCAAATCCCGTAAACCCTTAACCGTGAACCTGCAAGCTCAGAAGAACTTTTCGAGCCTACCGCCGAGACATCGACCAACATCGATCCTGTAAGTCTGAAGTCCATAGACGTGCGGTACCTGTAGTCTCCGAAGTACTTCCTTTTCTGCTTACCTTGCCGTGAGAGCATGGGATTCTATGCATGAACTGGGTAGCCCAAAAACTTGTTGACACTTTTGGGATAGTATAATCCCTATAGAACTGAAGGTTTTCATTTTTTGTCGGGGGGGCTATGAACTGAGTAACTCAGCAAAGCCACTACCATGGAGACTATAGGTAGAGCGAGATGCGGCCCTGGCCCAGGACCCTGTTGTGGCCCTGGCCCCGGTCAAGGCTGCTGTGGCGCTGGTTGCTGTGGTCAGAACGGCGGCTGCTGTGGGCCTAACGGTGGTGGCTGCTGTTGTGGCGGTGGCTGCTGTTGTGGAGGTGGCTGCTGCAGTCCTGGTGGAGGTGGCTGCTGCGGCGGCTGCTGCGGCTGTTGTGGTCACCAAGGCTGGCTGAGCGTTGGATCTGAGTTCTTGCAGAGAGTGCTGGCTGTCAGCTCTTCTTTCGACTAGTGCTCTTGGGTGCTGCGATGTTGCGAGGGTTACAATTGGAGACTCTTTTGGAGCCAGTTGGAGTTTCGATTCTATTGCTGACGATTTGGGCTGTGTGCTCTGCATACACGGTACCAGACTGAAAAGAACTGAACATTGGCCTGGACGCAAACTGAAAGATTAGACCATTCTAGAGCCAATTGTGGAGACTTGGACCCGGAAGCTTGGTACTCATTCCAAGTACAGTAGGTGAAGAAGTGTTTCGATCCATAGGTTCCCGGCATGCTGAAGTCTGAGACCCCACCCACTCACCAGAGAGCTTTGTGTACAAAAGCAGAGCGACAGACGAGACTGAACGCAGCTGTCTAAGTCAGAGCACGAGTTATATGTCCGATAATCCGGTCCGTCGCGCAGGGCCTTGCAGCCCTTGCTTTGGATGCATGTGTGGCCACGGACGCTTGGATGATAGAGCATCTCATACACTGGGGATCCTCGTAGATAAGAAAATGGCGGGATCATGCTATTCTACTTATCAAGGCCCCTACATTACCCTGTAGGTGCTAAACTCTAAACCCTAAACTCCTGACTGCAACAATCCCACTATGCCCTGAAAAGGAGCCTAAACCCCACCCTAAACCCTGAACCCCAACCCCTTAATTAATCCTAAACTCTAAACCTTAAACCCTAAACCCTTTACTTTCAACCCCGAAACATTGAACCCTTAACCGCCTTAACCCTAAACCCTAAACTCTACACCCTCTAAGGCAAAGGCTGCTGTGGCGGCTCCGGATGCTATCCGGGAGGGCCTCAGCTCCTAGTCTCTGCATTCTCAGAGGGTCCTAGGTGCTAGAGGGTTTGGGGTTTTAGGGTTTCGGGTTCAGGATTTAAATAGGGTTTACGTAGGGTTGATGGTTTTGGGTTTTAGGGTTTCGGGTTTAGGATTTAAATAGGGTTGAGGGTTTGGGGTTTCAGGGTTTCGGGTTTAGGATTTAAATAGGGTTGAGGGTTGAGGGTTTGGGGTTTTAGGGTTTCGGGTTTGGGATTTTAACAGGGTTTAGGGTTGAGGGTTTGGGGTTTCAGGATTTCGGGTTTCGGGTGTAGGGTTTAATTAGGGTGTAGGGCTTTAGGGCTTTAGGGTTTTGGGTGTAGGGTTTAGGGTGTGTATACGGTGTGCACGCGGGGGGTGCATTTTTCACTGTAGGAATTGTCCACTTGTCGCGTGCTTGCGTCAGCCATGTAGCCCTGCCCCAACCTCCCCAAGTATTCTCAATTAGGGTTTAGGGCTCACCCCCCCAAACCCCCCTCAAAGGGAAACTTTCTTGCTCTCTGCTTCCCTTCACAGTTCTGCCTAAAATGCTTGTTTCACAGCAAACCACAGCTGAGATGGATTAATGTCGGGTTGTGGGTCCTCGCGGCCTGCGTCGCCCCTCGCACCCTGTCAGGCTCGCTCGAAGGTTCCGGTGACAGCAGGTCTGGGTCACGGAAACCCCGGCCTGGAAGCCTTGCGCAGGGCCTCCCTAAGACCGGCCCCGGTCTTCATACTTCTTTCCCTAACCCTCCAGGTACCGACTATTTGGGGGTTTCCGAAAATAGGGGACCCTAATATGGTACCCTAAATAGTAGGATCCTTATTATAAGGACCCCAAAATAAGGTACCCTAATTTAAAGAACTACCCATTTAGGGCCCTAGGAGCTCTAGCCTGTATAGTAGGTACCTGGGGGGGTTAGGGTTAACGGCAGAGACTCAGAGAGGGTCATGAGCGGGGCGGCGTCACTACCGTCCTCGTATACCGCGAGGCTTTACTTTTCCTCACCGTTCTGACGAGACGCTCGGCCAGGGGCCTCGGTCGGAGCACCAAGCGCCCATGCAAATGGTCAGCGGCGCTCTCGGCAGTTTAGGGTTTAGGGTTAAGGGTTTAGAGTAGGGCGTAGGGTCTAGAGTTATGGGGGATACTTCCCCCAAGTTGTAATTTGTAAACCCTACATCCTGCTATAAAGGTACTTTGGGCCTTTTGGGATTAAGATTTTGATTCTGAGGCTTTTGCAGGGTTGAGAGGGTTTAGGGCAGTAGGGTTTCGGAAAAGGATTGATGTGTCTAGGGCTTCAAAGTATTTAAGAGTCTTGGGTCTGGTGTGATAATTTAGTTCTTGATGTTGGGCAGTGAAAGCTGGGTGCCTGTATGTCTCAATGACGAGAAACCATCTGCATACAGAAGTGTGTGCGAATCTACATACATACATACATACATACATACCTACGTACGTACGTACGTACGTACGTACGTACGTACGTACATGCATGCATGCATACATACATACATGCATGCATACATGCTTACATGCAAACATGCATACATACATACATACATACATGCATACATGCATACATACATGCATACATACATACATACATACATACATTGATCGTTTACATTACATTACATTACATTACATTACATTACATTACATTACATTACATTACATCACAGTACAGTACAGTACAGTACACTACATTACATTACATTACATTACATTACATTACATTACATCACAGTACATTACATTACATCACATTTCATCACATTACATCACATTACATCACATTACATCACATTACATCACATTACATCACATTACATCACATTACATTACATCACATCACATCACATCACATCACATCACATTACA